AGCCTGGAATCAGTGGAAAGGGACTTATCATATCAGCATGGTCATGTGCTACGCGAGCTTCATTGCCGCCGTCTGGAAAATGTACAGTTTTCCAGCGGATTGGGGCTATGGCCTCGTCTTGCTCAGACACGTCTTGGGTGCAGGGCTCATTGCCTTGCAAATCTGGACATCGGTCAGCATCTACGAATCTCTTGGAGAGTTTGGTTGGTTTTACGGAGATTTCTTCTTCGATGAGTCGCCCAAGTTGACGTATGACGGCATTTACCGTTTTCTGAACAACCCTGAGCGGGTTCTGGGTTTGGCAGGGGTTTGGGGTGCTGTCCTTATCACGAGCAGTGGAGCTGTCACTTTCCTTGCCCTGATGAGCCATATTTTGAGCCTAGGGTTCATCCAATTTGTCGAGCGTCCTCACATGCAGAAGCTTTATGGTCGAAGCCTGCGACGGGATGCTGGTCTGACAAAGAGTTTGAAGCGATCCTTGCCTCCATCTCTACAGCAGCTCCATGGGAGTGTTGACAAAATGTTCGATGAGTCTTTCGAATTCATCGAAGAACTTATTGACACTGCTCGTCCGAAGCTCGCTGCGGGTGTCAACACGTTTGTCAAGGACACATCAGCTCTGTTCCAAAAGTATCCCGCTCGTGTGACTATCTCTCGCATTGATGAAGACCTGGCTGGCTATGACTTACGTGACTACTCCTTGGAGGTCGAAGGCACTGATTCATTGTCTCCCAATGACAACGATCAAAGCGGTAGGGAGGGTGCCAATGCTCGTATGCCCCTTGACAGACGCGGCGACCTGAAGAACTTGGTCTTCGAGTATGGTTCACCCATCAAGGTTAAGTGGACTGCTCCGCTCAATCACAGCAAGAAAGATTGGATTGGCCTATATCGAGTCACCGACAACACTTCTCGGGAAGTCACGCGCGTCTCATCTCAAGGGAGATGGATTGCGGTCAACGAGGGCTCATATGACAATTTGACTTGTGAGAAGGGAATTGTGAGCAGCGATATTGTCATATCCGCCTCACAACGCAAGGATAACGAAAACCGCGATCTTGCTTCCGGTGAAGTCATCTTCTCGGGTGATAAATTGTTCTGGACTCAGGGTGTCTTCGAGTTCCGGTACCATCACAATGGCAAACACAACGTTATGGCTATTTCAAGACCATTTGAGATTCGTATCAGCCGGTTTGATGAGGATGAGATTCCGCTGATGGACCCTACATCAGTCGAGATGAGCTTGTTTCCCGTTGTGCGTAACTGCTTTGATCGAGATCCCGAGATCGCACCGGAGACCGTGGATGAGCCTTTTGGCAGTCTCGTCGAGCGTGATGGGAAGTATGCTAAGAGAGTCGTGTTCGCGGTTCATCAAATGTGAGTTGATTTCCTGCGGGGTTTTTGGAGGAGGTCGTACTAATGCTTTCGCGAAGGTTTGGTATCGAATTCGCTCCCGAGGTTGTCAAAGCCGACGGCAGTGTCCACAACCTCGCCCGGAGGATATGCAATGCAAAAAGGGTCCTGGTATGTAGTCATCTGCCTCCATTACCTCATCACCTCTTTTTCCAGCCGCTGAAGCTGACTTTGAATATCACAACTTATAGGCTCCCTATAGTCTAACCAAGAATGGTGCAGCAACACCAACTGAAGGGAAAGAGTAACCTGAAAATGAGAACCTATTGTGGAACCTAGAGAAAACTCCAAAAAAAAGGAAAAGTGGAGACATGGCATGTCTCCCAGCTTGACAATACGCAAACCATTCCTGTTCGCCTTAGCAGCTTATATTTGGCTGAGCGATGGAAACTCCAATAGACAGGCTGTATTGCCATGTCACTCCTTTTGCTTCTGCTGAGATACTTCATCGTGCTGGTATTCTGTCTCATCATGCACGCCAAAGACGAACCCTGAAGAAGATAGACAAGGGAAAGGATTGTAAAGGCCGCGATGACCGGAGTACGTTGACTATGCAAAGCATGCATTACTTCGAGTGGTTGAAACAGCAGAAGCTTAAGGGGTTTATAGTTTCATGGTACATATTCAGTGGCTTTATTTATAGATACCATAGACAATGAAGAATTCGTGCTTAACGGTTGATGGATGAATTTTCCCTGTATTGGATGTTTCGATCTAATAGGTATCTCTATTCTAACTACCGAGTATGATTTGACGAAAAGCCTACAACTTCAGAGTGGTCAGCAGGCATCTTAATCGCTGACATGGAGTTCGACTGCACAACAGCACGACGGAACACCTCAAGTAAAGGCAAACTCATAAAGAGTTCGCAGTAAGGTGTTGATCAGCCAAGCCGGTAAATTCATCCCATCCCCTGCCAAGTTCTTCCCCCCGACAGATCATCCAAAACGAACGATGAGTCGGGTGGAAGGCGTTGGCACAAGTCAAGCGTAGCAAGCACACCGGCAGGTCTCAGCGCGGAGCATAACGATTGAGCCCGCTGTCCAGTGCTCCACAACCAATCATCCCTTCAATCCAGCGGATTTCAGAAGAAATACAGCGAAAAGAAAGTCCGGTATAAGGGAGTTGGACAGGCGGATCGCAGTGTTCCAAGTGTGCTGTTTTGCCGGCAGCTGCGGGCTCGAGGGGCGGTTCTCCAAGGGAGATCATTGAATGGATTGACTTGTTGTCATCATAAAGGATTGTGTTTGGGAGTGATATAAGATTGGGAAGAAGTAACTGTACCTATTACTAGTAAATGCCAGCAAAGTTGTGTTTGGGTTAAGCGGTTGTACAATTTCTATTCTTCGAGATTGTCAGCAATCCGAATGATCAAGCACCTCAGTGGATTGAAAGATAAGTAAAATATTCCAAAAAAAATATCAGGAGTTTTTGGTAAGGTATTTGGTTTTCTTCAAGGTTTTTGCAGAAGCAGAACTGAAAAAAATGTCTCTCATCACGAAAAGCATACGGGAAGTGTGACAATTGAGGAAGCGAGCAATAACATACCCAACAGAGCCTACAAAATGTGCGAGATTTCCCAGGGGGAAAAAAGGTGAGATCTTCCTGTCTGATGAATTGGTCAGTAAGACTGCATGGAGCAAAACGAGCTGACAGCAATTGTGGATTAGGATTTTGATCAGATGGTGATGCATGTTTGTTCAAGCCCATTTATTTGTCGCCGGAACTTAAGATTTTTGGAAATCAATTTCGTCATGAAGGGTGTGGAATGGATAGTCAGAATGGGAAGACAGACTTACAGTGAGTAAGTAAGTACCAGAATGTTTGCGAGCAGATGGCGGTTTAGAAGCTGATGCACTTTTACCAACAACTCAGGCCTCATCATCAGAAGTCTAGTTGGTTGGCATTCAAGCATAGAAGAGATGAAGGAGAGGAAGAGGAGAAAAAACAGAGAAGAAATAGTCGAGTGGGAAAAAGTGTGATCCACCAGCGGACGAAGACAAACAGTGCAAACATCTTCTGAAATCGCAGATTTCCGTTTCTGGACTGGGAAAGTCGCTGGAAGGCTGCTTGGCAGGATTTCTGTTAAAGGAGCATTGGCAATTCCTTGTTTTATTCAAACGTTATTGCCTTTTATCTTTCCTCGATTCGAAGCTTCTTCTCGTTCCCAATAGACCTGCTATGACTGACCGACGAAGAATCAATGGGCCGCCCAGTGGCACAAGGCCTGCGGTCTTTGCCTCGTCGCTCAAATCTACGACTGATACTGCATCTGGCAGGCCACAACGGCAAAGGCAGCCAAATGAACTGCGCAAAATCTGTGAGATACCAGGTCCAGACATCGCCCGCGCAAGAGCTAACGTGTCTGTGTATTAGTCCTCAAGACTGGCTTGATCCCTTCCGCATCTGGCTCCTCATACCTCGAATTCGAACCCTCAGCCTCTCTCGCCGCTGCACGCTCTTCTCCTCAATCTCTCATCCCTCCTTCCTCAGCTCTGAAGCTTGCATGCACTGTTCACGGACCGAAACCGCTTCCCCGCTCTGCTACATTCTCGCCTAACCTTGTTCTCACCACTCATGTCAAATATGCGCCGTTCGCTGCCCGCAGGAGGAAAGGGCACATCCGAGACACTAGCGAACGGGACCTGGGCGTGCATTTAGAGACCGCGCTGCGGGGTGTTATTGTTGCTGAACGGTGGCCGAAGAGTGGATTGGATATCACGATTACGATCTTAGAGGCAGAAGATGATCGGTGGTGGGGGGACGCTCCAGACTCTCATGATGCTCCCTGGGGGATGATGAATGTTCTGGCTGGATGCATCACGGCTGCCTCTGCGGCTATTGCGGATGCGCGGATAGACTGTTTGGATCTCGTGGCTGGCGGTGTAGCTGCTCTTGTTTCCGACGAGTCAGCGGAGGGAGAAAAGTCAACGCCGAAGCTGATGCTGGATACAGACCCTGCTGAACATCGGTCTATCCTGTCAGCATGTGTCGTCGCATATATGCCTTCTCGGGACGAGATTACAGAAATATGGCTCAAGGGGGATAGTTCGAAGGTGCTATTAGGGCCCGATGACAAGCGCTCGGGGCATGACGCTTTAATAGACGGGGCGGTGGACGCTGCTCGGGGAGCGCATACGGTTTTGGCAGAGGCAGTGAGAGAATCTGCTGAACGTTTTGCCGGCCTTGCTACAGTCTGAGGTCTCGTGTAATGAACGAAGAAATAATACCAAAGTCTTCTAGGATCCTTTTCAATTGTCACATTACGATTAGATGTGATAGAGCATCAGCCATTGCTCCCTCGGTAGTATCCTCAAAATTCAGTGGAATCATAGATTGAGTGGGCTCTCACTGTGTATACTACCAGTGAATCAAACACCGCGTAAGGCGGTTTAGGACCAGACCACTAGAGCAGACGTTCTGCCTGCCTGTGAGGTGAGCGCGACTCATTTCGAAATAAACACCAACCTCTCGTCAGACCACTCTGTCCCTCACCAACTTTCAATCATCCTCACTTTGACCTCCAAATTGATCAAGCATCCTCGTTTCATCTTCCCCTCCCATCGCGTCCGACTCAAAACGTCGCGATGCCCAAGTCAACCGTTGACGAGCAACACATCTTCATGTATCACCTCCTTAACGGAGTGAACGACAAGACCGTAAGTTCTCTTGAGAATAATGAAACGAGCATAGACGAGTAGCAAAAGAGGAACAGCTTATGTCAATCGCTTGATTGTTCATGATGCTTTCCTCAAAACGACCAGGACATAGCTTACCATACTCGCTTCGCATAGATCAATTGGGATCCCGTGTGCAAGGCCACCAATCTGAACAAGAAGGCCGCTAGCATGAGATGGGTTCGTCTCAAGGGAAAGATCGAGGACGCTCTGAAGGAAAACGAGACTGAAAGCGCTGACGACATCACCGCGAAGTCTGGCAACGGCAACGCCGAAGCCAACGCTGAAGCCGAAAAAGCGACTGGCAAGTCTATGCCCAAGATGGGGGTTTTCAAGCCCCGTCGTTCCAAGAACGTCAACACCGCCGAATCTGAGATCGCTCCCCCTGTTAAGAAGAGACGCACCACTAAGCGCAAGAGAGACGATCAGACCGATCACGAAGACGCCAACAAGGGTGCTTCCGAGGCGAATGCCGAGAAGTAGCTGGGTTCCATCGTTGGACAATCATTCTTTCTCCGCGAGCTCTTGTGGCCATGGCACCTTTGGGATGAGCATCTTTCTTTGCGGTAGTGATGAAAGGGAGTTAGTTTGATTCAACAGCATGAACATCTTTTGGCGCATAGCCTGGTTGGTTGGATTTGTATCTGTTACTGGCAGTTACACGAACACAGGAAGAAGTTTGTTGAACCTGGAGGATAGTAGATAGCTGCTCTTAAGGGTTTCATGAGGCACGTGAGGCTGCATGATTGCAGAATGTAGGCGGTATGGACCTATTTGTGTGCCTGAATGCCGAGGCATATTATCTGTATTCAGTGCAGAGGCCTTATCCAATAGGTACCTTCGTACCCAGACTCCTTGCTCCCTTCCACAATACACTAATACAGAACTTCAGAGTATAAAAGACTCCTGCCGTCTCTCTATACACTTCTTTGTCCGCAATATCAGCATTAACATATGGCGGTGTTTCGCTTTATCACAAACACACGAAGTAATTACTCTGTAGATAGTCTACACCTGTGATGGCGCATCTGCCAGGGAGGATTGTACTGTAATCACAAAGCACTGCCAGATATAGAAACACACGGACAAGGTTTAGCTGGTACTTCGTACTGGTTATGGGCTTGAAGACTAATTTCCCTAAGATTAGGATCGTTGGCCCAGATTCCCGATATTGCTAGCTCCTGAGTTGGTGTAGTTCGCAAATAGAACTATGTCAACCTGACAACCAGAGAGTTCTAGTCCAGTCGAAAAACACGGCGAGATTCTTTTTGGCTTTCAACTCAATTCGTGACATATCGATGATCGCTGGCGTCAGAGACAATATAATGGAAAAGAAAATAGAATCATGATCCTGTCGGCTCCACCATGGCTCTAAATGTGTGCGTGTTTCCCGCTGCGTCTCTCGGCTGAACGTACTGGGAACTCAGGGGAAGGTATGGACTTTTGTTAGGATACTTCGAGTGCATCTCATGGTCCCACTGTCCCGTAATCGCAGAGATGGTCGATAAATCGAATAATACCAACCAGAACGGGCTCGTGGCTCTCCGCGGACTTTTCCCAATCGAGGCTTTCCTTTTGTTCAACCTTCGAAGCTCAGACAGCATCAAGATTTGGGCTATCCACCATCGGTGTTTCACATCTCGAAGTTTGATCAAATTATCTCAACCTAATCATGCCGTCGTCACGAACACCTAGATTACATATAACACTTGGCTCTCAGCGAATTGTCGATAATGGCTTGAGGTACGATGTTAAGCCGAGTGAACAAACTGACAAGGGGTATCGGGAACCAGAAGGACAGGAGGAACAGAGTCAAAAAGCTTTTTTCCTTAGATACTTTCATACCCTTGTCAAGAATTTTGATAGCTAACGTCTTTGCTTGTCAGACTGGTCGCACGTGAAATGAAACTTGCCAGGACGCCAGTGACTGGTCGTTGCGCATGAGAAATCCTGCAATACTCCAGACTCAAAATCCAAAATTCTTCTGATCCAATGCTATGGGCTCAGTTCGCTGGTTCCTTCAGCTGATTGAGACCGTTCCTGGCCTACTGGACGATCACACGGCACCGACCAATAACTGGTTTGTTTAACGCGCTGGGTATTCGCGGGATCCATCAGGACCCAATTTTTTGCCTTTTGACTGGTGTCTGCTTCTCCATTTCCCTTAGTAAACAGCTTAAGAAGTTAAGTCCATTCCATAAACTTCACAGCAGGTGACTATGTGACTGAGCACTGAGCACCTTCTGATGCGCCCGTTCATCTATGCTCGTTGCTCCTGTTTTGATTCAGTCGCTACGCTGCTTGTCGCTGTCGGTTTTAGGGTTTCGAATCCGCTCAACCAGATCCTGGCATGCTGGCAATGCAGGCTGCAGCATTGCTCTTGAGCGGGGTGGGCTTGAGCTTGGACTTGGTAAACGGCAAGGGTCCAGGTCATTGATATTCTGGATATATGTGCTCCGTAAGAACTTTAAAGCCAAGGACGCTGCAGCAGACTGCACGTTCTAGAAAATCTTCTTAAAATCTCATCCTTGTCAATTGTGGCTTTGTGAGTATGCCGTAGCCACCATGAAGATTGGGCAGGATGAAGTCTCAATGGCCTGGTGTATGATGCAAGCACGGAGTACTTCCTAGTTGATATAAACTACTCTGTAGCCTATTGAATTACGAATCGAGCACAAGGGTACAGTAATCTAGCCCTGCTCCTGAAAGAGACCAGAGTCCTGTCTGTGTGCCTGTTAGCTTCCTCCCTCATAGTGGATATCCGGTACTGAGCCACTACTTCCCCCTGATCCAGGAACAACTGAGGGATCTGCGAACTAGACAGCATTTAAAATTATTAAAAATATTTTCAATTGCCTGCCGCATTATCTCTCCTTTGCAGGATCAGAATATCTCAATTCTCTGGKGGATTGTTTCTTCCTCCTTCCCAACTCTTTGAGACGAAATATGCACGCTTCTTGTCTGGGATAACCCAGAATTACATTACACCTGATTCAGAAAGCATTGAAGCAATCATGTCTAATAATACGATCTTTGAGACTGTCTAATCGCTCTTCTGATTCCATTCCTTTGCCCAGGTTTAGCTGGATCATTATTCCTTTGTTCACTTTCCGGGTACGCAGTACATCTGAGCTTCTTAGCTGGTACCAAAGACGACCCCATTTTATACAAGGACTTCCTCACTTGTGATACTCCTGTCAACCAAATTTCTCTGGCTGTCGTTCATCATGGCTATCCTAAAGAGACTTTTCCAGGCCGAAAAAAGTTCATCAGCAGACGCTGCTGATTCAGATGAAGCCCGGGGCCCACCAACTCAAGCTGTCAATCCACTGCAGAGGTCCCTGAGCTTAAATACTTCACGGCAGCTGGATGCCGACGAACATTTTCAAAGCATTGAGAAACAGTTCCAAGAATTGCACGCCCAAATGCAGGCACGGCCTTTATCTTCCCGCTCCCATACTCCATCCTGTCGTGCTTCAAGTCGTTTCACGCCGCGCAATCCGCGACATGTCGATCTGCTAGATGCCTTGTTCTCGTCACATAGGTATCAGATGCAGATAGTCAGTGCATTATCACCTACTACTCCTTTCAATGAAGATATCGCTGAGCGCAATATGGTTCGATTTCTTCAGGGACAGCCGCGGACGAAGAAGGCATATACCCGTATCATCTCGGCTCTTTATCAAGAAGATGTGGCGGACAGGAACATTGCAAAGAATCGAACGAACAAACGCACAATATCCCGAAGCGCTAGCTCTCGATCGCAGCCTGCATCAACACCAAGCGGTGAGGTAACTCAGTGTGAAGCCGGCCGCCAGTCTCTTCCATGGGCCAATGGGGGCAAAGTCACACCATCAAGCTCACGGCCAGGTTCGAGCTCCTCGTCTCAACCTCGTTCTTTACGGGCCCACAGGTCGACGCCCAATATAACGGCTGAATGTACAAATGCGTCGGGAGAACAATCCGCACCTAATGGCGGAGGCTACTTGGACATCCCTCCAGCCCACAAGCAAGGCGACCAATGGAGCAACACACCGCTACCAGACAGTCCAACATTACCTGTGCCAATGACTCAAGGTCGAAAGATGGGTTCATCGGGAGAGAAGGGCACTCTTGAAGTGACGATAAGATCGCCGTCAACCCGCAGTAATGACTCATCTACATCACCCAGACTCAACTCCAAGAGAAACGTCCGGGACCTTTCTATCAACACGGAGTTAGCGGCTCGAGGAAAATCTACGCCGAGGATCTCGCACCGTGCAATCCAGCCACCAACGCCTAGTAACTATGATATCAAACAGAATCCTAGCATTGCCGAAGTCGTGAACAGCCCTGTATCTCTCCTGACACCCGCGTTGATGTTTCCTCTCCCCCCTTCAAACCAGAAGGCGGAGGTAATGGGCATGTTCAAGCAGGCTTTTAATTCCCCCGCAGGAGCTATTTCGCCCCATCCCACCTTTGAGACTCTACAAGACGCAATAGTTCGAGAGATTAACTCTCATGAAGCTTTCCGACGGGTACCTGTCCCTGAGACAGGTCCTCTCTTTACGCCGTCCCCATCTCAGGATACCTTTGATCGAGACGAGATCTCGGCAACTCGAGGGCTCATCAGGAGTTTCTCCACAAAAGAAAGACAATTTTCCAAACTAATCAGTCGCGGCTCTCTCAAAAAGCATAGAAGAGGCTCGGAGCGCAAGAGCATATCAACTACCGCACCTGCGACGCTCTTTCGCCGAGGCTCCGCATCATCCAGGAGACGAAGGCACACAGATGCCCCGCCTCCATCTCCCGGGTTCCTCGACGTGAAGCAAGACGGAACACTTGATGACAATGACCAACCTCGAAAACAAGAGCAAGTGACGTACATGGATATCCTCTTCCGAGCACAGAAGTCTCCTCCCAATTCCAGGGGGAGAAGATCTCCAGAAGCCGTTCGTGGCTTCGGACGAACTCGATCGTCCGGCACCCTCGGTTCATGCAGCTTCTCGGACAGATCCCAACCCACCCCTTCAGTCTACTACATGCGTGCACAGACGTGTTCGTCCTCCAGTGACGGCCGGAACAGCTTCTCCGCAGACGACAGCGATGAGGAGATAATCCAGCTCCCCAGCACTGCAACCTCACGCATCCAAATCCAGGCTGTCGACGATAACAACGTCACCTACATGATGGAGAATACCACACCGAGAAATGCCTACCGGTTAATGAACTGGCCACATGGCACGCATAGGGCTCTTTCTAGCCGAGGGAGCTCTGTCATGAGCGCAAACAAGTCGGCCCATAACTCCCCCAGACACGAACATCTTATCCGCAGCACGCGTTCGGTCGAGTCTTATTGATTTCGATAACATTCAACTCTACCTATCTTCTTCGTCTTCTCGGGGAGAAATGGAAAATCAGTCTAGTCAAGTCGAGACGACGCGCTACTGCAATCCCCCATTCACACTCCTTGAAACACCAACTATTACATGACTATGTCTTTTCCTTCTTTCTCGAATCATCCAGTTCCTACTCCATCTGTGGTATATACCAGGCGTTCTCCGCAATCTTCGTTTCCATTTTTGGAAGCGTTTCTGCATCATCTCTTATCTTTGGGTCATTAAGCATAGCTAGGCGGGAAAGAAGTTTTAGATACGCTAATATCAATCATGCTGATAATGCACCTACTCCAGCGTAGTAGCCTTAGTCGAGTATCTTCCCCTCTTTTTAAGATGCTGAGGCACGACTAGGATGCAATGACGCTATGCTTCAGTTGTGATTGATGATTTCCACATCCAAGGTACGGACATGGTATGCTAGATCTATGCTAGATCTGACTCTGAATGCACGAAGAAAACAACCACAGAGGTATCTCGAAGATCACTCCCTTAACTCACTTCACCAATGCACCGAACCTTGTTTTTCGAATGTACCTTCAACTAAACACATACATCCTTCACCGAAACTGAAACAGCAGAGAAAGGAAAATCATAAAGTCATAGTTACCACCGCCATGCAGGCGGGCGGGACAATCCGACGTGGATATGCATGACTCGAACGCCATGTTGGACGTTTAGTAGGAACCTGCGCGCAAATAGTCAGTGATTGTTCGATTCCTTCTCCCGCGGAGGATATAGAAAGGGAATGGCAACTTACGTCCAAACATGCACCACTTCTCGGCCATACGGGTGCACTTGGGGTTGACGCACTTGGTCTGGCCGGGGATGATGCCCTCGGGCTGATCGAAGGGAATGCAGAGAGACTTGGCGCCCATGCTGGGAGCCCTGGCGTCCTGAGGCACACCAGAGTCCTCCTCCGCCTTGCGGGCGCTGAGTTCCTTGATCTGATCCTCGCACTCCGCTGTGAGACAGTGAGGGATGACACAGATGTTCTTCTCATTGAGCGCGGGGGTGAAATCATCCCAGTTGGTGATGAGCTTGCGATGAGCGCGGAACTCGTCATCTGCGCGCTTGTACAGATCCTTGTGGATGGTCTCCAGCAGAGCAGGAACGGCGGTGGACAGCTCATCAATGGGAATAGTAAACTTGCCATCCTTACCGGGAATGTCACGACGAGCAGCCGTGACGTAACGACCGGCGGACTCACCAGGACCGAATTCAAGGCGCAGAGGGACACCACGAAGCTCCCAGTCGTTGAACTTCCAGCCGGGGGAGTAGCCTTCTCTCTTGTCGCTATCGGCACGGACACCCGCAGCCTTGAGGAGGGAGACAAGGCTGTCGATCTCTGCGTAGAGCTTCTCTCGCTCCTCATCGGAAGTCTTGGCAGTGATACCGACCGGGACGATGATCGTCTGAGTCTCAGCAACGCGAGGAGGAAGGACCAAACCGCGGTTGTCACTATGAATCATGACCATAACGCCCAGAGTACGGGTGGAAAGACCCCACGAGTTCTGCCACACATGAAGAGGAGGCTTCTTTTCTTCTGGTTTGGCAGATGGGTCCTCGACGGTGATCCCGAACATCTTACTGAAGTTCTGACCAAGACCGTGTGACGTTCCACCCTGGATACCACGACCGGTAGCAGGGATGTAACCTTCAACAGTGGTAGTGTAAAGACCACCGGCAAACTTCTCCTTCTCTGTCTTCTGGCCCTTTACGACGGGAACAGCGAGGAGCTCTTCGTAAATCCGAGCATAGAGGTTGAGCATGTGTAGGACCTCTTCGCGAGCGGCCTCCTCGGTAAGGTGAGCAGTGTGACCCTCCTGCCACAAGAACTCTCTTGTTCTAAGGAAAGGCTGAGGATGCTTGAACTCCCATCTGACGACCGAGTTCCACTGGTTGAGCTTGAGAGGCAGGTCACGGTGACTTCTGATCCATTTGGCGTAGTAAGGGTACATAACAGTTTCTGATGTTGGACGGATGGCGATCTTCTTCTCAAGAGGGGTGTTGCCTCTGTAAAGGAGTAGAGTCAGTCCTATAAAAGAAGAAGTACAACGCTGGTCAAAGGGGAAATCTTACGCATGAGTCACCCAAGCAACTTCAGCAGCGAAACCTTCGATGTGATCCTTCTCTCTCTGCAGCACATCCTCGGAGACGAATAGAGGAAACGAGCAGTTCTTGACGCCAACCTTCTTGATCTCTGCATTGAACCAGTTCTGAATCTCCTCCCAGATGAAGTAAGAAGCAGGCTGTGACTCATCAGCAACGGGACCATAATAGTTGACGGTAGTATACCCATTCCAGAAAGCAATCATACCTTGAGAATGAAGCATCCAGAAACATCGTAGTAATCCAACATGTCACCCTTTGTAAGAACCTGCTGATACCACCCAGGAAAGTCCTCCTCTTTGGAGACATCGATACCGATCAAAGCAGCACCTTCAATCTTCTTCTTAGGTGCCTTCAATGTAGCCTTCTTAGCCTCCGACTTTCCAATGCCCTTGTTCGCAGCCTTCTCAGCCTTCTCGGCAGCCTGCTTTGCTAGCTTTGCTGCCTTCTTGGCGGCATTCTTGGAGGTCTCGCCTTGGGGAGCGGCCTTATCAGTTTCAGCGGGGTTCTGAGAGCGATCAGGGAGGGTGACAGGGTCAGCAGCGACAGCGTCAGCGGGGTTTTGGCTGGCCATTTTGCAAATGAGGATCGAGTCGAGCAGTCGCTAGAAGAATGGACAGAAAAAAAGAGAGCGATTGACTAGGCAGATGACTCGTCCGTGGGAGCAAAATAAGGACCGCATTCCCCTCGTCAAAGTGGGATGCATCTTGGAAAATCTTCACCGCCTCGGGACCGGCAGAACTTTTAGCGGGAGACCAACAAGAATGGGCAGCAGAACGAGATCTCTAGCAGTGGAAGCTCTGCCATCTCGTCACAAGCTTCTTTTTCTACTATCGAGTAATCATGGCAGGCATTTTCGAGGCGCCGCGCAATGCGGACACTCTTTGTGAGCTTCAGGCCCCCAAAAAGGACCTTCTTTGAGACCGTTTTACTGACGACCATCGCACAGTCTTGGGTGGACAGAAAATAACTGGCGCTGATGTCCGCGAGCAGAATGGTGTGTGATAAGCCATTACGACTAACATGACTAAATTCTTGTATGCTGATGAGACACTCAGTCCTTGCGACTCAGGCTATTGCAAATGTTGTCAAGAGCTCCTTTGGTCCTTCTGGTCTGGACAAGATGATGGTGGACGACATAGGGGTAAGCGTTCAGAGCTCAACCCCTCGACATCCCGTGCAGAGTTCTGATTGCCAGTATAGGATGTGACTGTAACCAACGATGGGGCCACTATTCTGAGTTTGCTCGACATCGAACACCCTGCTGGGAAGATCCTCGTTGATCTAGCTCAACAACAGGACAAAGAGGTATGGCCCATCGCTCGCGCCGATTCTCTGTCCTAGAAAGCTCTTTCCTGATCCTGTAATCTTTTAGGTCGGAGATGGCACTACTTCCGTCGTTCTCATTGCTGCCGAACTTTTACGACGAGCAAACGAGTTAATGAAGAACCGTATCCACCCCACCACTATCATCAATGGCTACCGACTAGCGCTCAGAGAAGCTGTCAAGTATATGAATGAGAATATCACCACGAAAGTCGACGCTCTAGGAAAGGACAGCCTGGTCAACATTGCCAAGACTTCTATGTCGAGCAAGATCATTGGCGCGGACGCGGATTTCTTCGCCAACATGGTCGTTGATGCCATGTTGCTGGTGAAGACCACAAATCAGAAGAATGAGGTTAAATACCCAGTCAAGGCTGTGAATCTGCTCAAGGCTCACGGAAAAAGCGGCACGGAATCTATGCTCGTCAAGGGTTATGCACTCAATTGTACCGTCGCTTCACAAGCCATGAAGACCCGGATAACTGACGCAAAGATCGCTTGTCTCGATATGAACTTGCAGAAGGAGAGAATGAAGCTTGGCGTTCAGATCACGGTTGACGATCCTGATCAACTAGAGAAGATCCGTGAGAGAGAGTCTGGCATTGTACTTGAGCGGGTGGAGATGATCCTCAAGTCTGGAGCAAATGTCGTTTTCACAACTAAGGGTATCGACGACATGGTTCTTAAGCTCTTCGTCGAGAGGGGCGCCATGGCTGTCAGACGCTGCAAGAAGGAGGATCTGAGACGGATTGCCAAGGCCACTGGAGCTACCTTGGTAAGCTCACTCTCTGACCTCAACGGCGATGAGAAATTCGACGCATCAAACCTCGGGTACGCAGAGGAAGTTGTGCAGGAGAGGATATCAGACGACGAGTGTATTCTGGTCAAAGGAACCAAGGTCCACACCTCGGCCTCAATCATTCTCAGAGGACCCAATGACTACAGCTTAGATGAGATGGAGCGTTCGGTTCACGATTCTCTTTGTGCCGTTAAGCGCACTCTTGAGAGTGGTAGCATCGTTCCTGGAGGTGGTGCCGTCGAAACGGCGCTCCATATCTACCTTGAAGAGTTTGCAGTCACAGTGGTACGTTCATTTCACATTTCCTCTAGATGTTCACACTCTCTAATGGCTCATCTTCACAGGGTTCTCGGGAGCAGCTAGCTATCGGTGAATTCGCCCAGTCTCTTCTCATTGTTCCCAAGACACTGGCGGTCAATGCCGCCAAAGATTCGTCTGAGCTCGTTGCCCAGCTCCGGAGCCGCCACTGGGCCTCTCAACGCATCGAAGAAAGCCCCGCCAACAAGGACGATAAGGCTATCGCCAAGAAGAAGAACTACAAGAACTATGGACTTGATCTGACCAAGGGACGAGTCCACGATTGCATCAAGGCAGGTGTCTTGGAACCCAGCATGGGTAAGGTCAAGCAGTTCAAGAGTGCTGTCGAGGCCTGCATAGCCATCATGCGTATCGATACCATGATCAAGCTGGACCCTGAAAGGAAGGAGGATGATGGACATGGTCACTA